TTAGTGTATGCTTAATTTCTGACTGGTCCTTTTCCATTTTTACGGCATTCTCACTAAGATCCTTGAAAGTCTCCTTAAGTTCCTTGGAGGTTTCTAGAAGATTCTTGAGTAACCTTATAACTGTGATTTTGAACTCTATATCCAATAGTTTGCCTTCTTCCATTTCTTTCATTTGTGACATGGTTCTTTGTCTCCACATTTTGAGTCTTCCTGTATTTGTTTCTATGTATTGGGTAGCTGCTAAGTCTCCTTGAGGTGATAGAGTGGCCTTGTGTAGTAGGTGTCCTATAGGACCCAGTGGCTCAGCTTCCCCAATCACCTGAGGTGGACACTCTTGGTGCACCCCTTTGTGGGCTGTGTGCACAGTTTTGTTGTAGTTGAACCTTGATTGCTTTTGGTGTCACTGGGAGGACTTGACCTCCAGGTCAATTGGCTGTGGGGACCAATTGTGACTACAGTGGGAGAGCTGCTGTGCAGAAGACATCCATATGGAGCAGGACTTGCTTCAACTGGGGCTTTGGTGCTCACTGAGTCTGCCTCTTGAGTGTGTTGCTTATGGATGTGAAGAGTTGTAATCTGGTATGGTCTCGCACTGACTACTGGGTACACTGGCTCTTGGGTCTCCAGGGAGGTGCAAAGTCAGCCACTGCCTGGGGCCACCCAGCAGGAGCTACAGAGAGATCTGCAGATTCCTCCTCTTTGTATCAGGTTTGGAAGTGCCCAGACAAGGCCAGCTGTGAAGCAAGCAGGCTGGTGCTGGTGCAGGTTCTTGGGCCTTTTATTGATAGGTTTGGGGCTCCCTGACTTAACTGCAGCTTGTTTGACCCAGCTGCAGCTTGAGAAAGGACACACAATTCACATGCAAAAGCCACTGCACACCACTTGGGTGGGGTTGTAAGTTGTGTCGGGCGGGGTCTCAGGGAATCAGCAGGGTGGAGCAAATAGAAATGGCTGCCAATCAGCCCTGCACCGGGGATATCCCAGCATGGGAACAGTGGCCACTGCAAGCACCTCCGTCTGGAAGAAAACCACCCCTGAGTTCCTGCCCTGATGCCAGACAGTCCAGTTTCTCCCCGTATGTGTCTGGGTCCCCCAGAGCCTCGCCCGGCACTGGAGCTCAGAGGAAGTGGGAGCTTGTAAATTCAGTTCGTGGTACCGGCCTTTTAAGAAGAGCAGCTGAGTCTCCAGGAGCCTGTGTGTCACTCAGCCCCAATCCACACTGGTTTTTACAGTCAGTAATTCTTACTGCCCATAGGGACTTCTTTTCCCAGCTCTGGAACCCTGGACTGCAGGTCTGGTGAAGGGCTGGGACCCCTCGCTCCTCTGGGTGGCCTCCACAGAAGCGATCTCCCTCTCAATTAAAAAAACAGCAGACCTGAGTGCCGGACCAGCCCGTTCCGTGCCTCCGCACCTCCACACCTCCTACCAGTCTCAGTGTGCTTTCTTCTTTATTTCTCTCGTTGTAGTACTTCCACTCAGCCAGCTTTTCAGTGATTCTGGATGATGGTTGTTCTGTATTTTAGTTGTAATTTTGATGTTGTCATGGGAGGCAGCAAGTTCAGGTGTTTACCTATGCCACCATCTTGGTTCTCCTCATATGTATTTTGAAATGTAATATGTTTTATACTCGGTTGCATTTGAAGAGCTAAGTATTTTGTTATAATGTTATATCATTAGTTTTCCTTTGAAGAACCTATTAACTTTTGTAGTTACATTTTCCTGGTGACTCACTCTAAAAATGAGTTCTTTGTATTGATAGCTAGAACTCTTTAGAAATTACAGGAAATATATAT